TTGCTTGTTTCCCCTTAGTCTTTGTCTGGTCATTGTCGCGTTGTCTGCCTTGTTCGTCATGTCTCCATGTGGTGTTTGGATTTCCTTGTTTTTGGACTCTGTTTATCAGTCACTCTGCCAGTAAGTGTTCTCGCCTTTTGTTTGCTACAATAAACCCTTTTTGAACTATACCTTCTCTGCCCTGTGTCCTGCGTTTGGGTCCACCAACCTGCCTCACCACACACTTGTGACAATCACAGCACCTCACCTAAATCACATAACATCTCATCACAACAGAAAATAACTTAACATCACAGTGCATCACAACACAGCACATCAATATATTGTGAGAATTTTGTCAAAGTTGATTGATATCCCTGAAAATGTCATTTACCAAACTTCAGTTTACATCATGTAAATTAATAGAATTTTAGATTGTTTTGTTTTTGAGAATTCAGCAACTTATCTTGGTTGAGTGAGTTTGTTAAACTGACGTTCGTGACTAAATGTTCTGATCATGATGTGGTTCTCAGTCATATCTCACCATTAGGCATTTCAGACAAATCTGCTTTGTGTCTTCACAACAGCTCTTTATGGCTTTATAAAGGTTTAATAGGCTACTTAAATTGCCCTATATTAAGTCATCCTAAATAAAAATACACAACTTGCAGTCGGTAAGTTTTATCTGCCATAGATACAGATAGGCTAGAGTTAGCAGTTTATCAGAAAGTACTAATTGCTGTCAACAAGGGAGTCACTTTGTGTAGAAAAGTGGTGGGGACATAAGGGCTCAGAATAGGTGTGTGACGATATACTACGTGACGAGGAGAACAGTATTTCGAAAAAATATTTGATGGTGAAATATGCAAGTGGGGGTCCTCCCCCGAAATATTCTGATCATTAAACTCTTAATGCATTCTGGAGACACTTTCGGTACACATTTATGGTGAAAATGTTATTTATATGAAGGGAAAAACGATAGCAGATGAAAATATAAAAATGTAAAGGAATATAATGCAGTAATCAGTTGCTTGTTAAGTTTTTTTTGGACAATGCACATTTGTTGCTTCTATATTTAAACTGTTTTCTTATTGTGTAAATAAACCTTTCTCAAAGGTTAAATATTAGATTAAATTATTTATTATTTATTATTTAACATTTCTTGTTGCAAGCTGTTTTTCAGAACATTTTTAACAAATGCTTTCAAATAGTGATGGGGACATCCTGATTTTCACATGACACCTATGGCTGTCAAACCTTTTAACGTCCCACCCCATCCAGGCTATGATTGGTCGGTTCATGAAAAGGGACACTGACACATTACTTTATGCTCACTGCTGCATGAAACGCACCTGAGCTTCTCCCTCGCCTTTTCTCCGTCGACAGAGATTAGCTGGCAGGCGAGAACGTGAACAGGTGAGTGTAACATATCAGAGAACCTGATGTGGAGAGGGCAGAAAAGAGTACTGGCAGCTTGTGAGAAGTGCCAGTACGCAAGAAAAAGTCCTCATGCACCAAAAAGTAAAATATATAACTGCCAGTACTGATATGTAAAGGGGCCCCCACCTCTCCTACACACCATATGTATAAGATGCAGATGCAGTCTCTTTTTAGTGTTTTTTAATCTCTGATTTTGCGTGTCTTTACGGAGATTTTGCATCTCTTCTTTTTGGTCAATTTGTGTAATTTTCAGCCTCTTTGTAGTCATGTTTTGTCTCTTTGTAGTTGCTTTGCATCGCTTTGTTAGTTTTGCATTTATTTTAAAATTGTTTTGCATCGTTGTCATAATTTTTAGTCTCTTTGTAGTTGTGTTTTACTTTCCAAAGACAAACAGTCGCTTCAAACAGTGGCTCTGGCCTACATGCCTCAGTAATATTTTCATAGCTTCAGCACTCAATTTCATCCGTCTGTGGTTACATGCAAGTGAAATGTGGCAAATCAGTGTATGAAAAAAAGAATACTAAGTTATTGGTTCACTTCACCAACAGTAACTTTTTTTGGTTCTTTCAAGGGCTCAGTTCAGGACATTATTAAAAACGGATTATTGTGAATGATGATTACTTTGTCTGTCTTGAGTGTGTTTGTATGCTTTTGACACAGAAAATTTGTTGTGATGAATGGGTGAAGTTTGACAACAGCTGTTACATACATTGGATAGAAAAAGTCTATACACCCCTGTAAAAATGCCAGGTTCTTATGATGTAAAATAATGAGACAAAGAAATCATGTCAGAACTTCTTCCACCTTTAATGTGACCTATAATTTGAACAATTCAATAGAAAAACAAACTGAAATCTTCGAGGGGGAAAATAAAAACCTTACAATAACCTGGTTGCATAAGTGTGCACGCCCTCTTATAACTGGGGATGTGGCTGTGTTCAGAATTAACCAATCACATTCAAATTCAGGTTAACTAGAAGTCATTACACACCTGCCATCATTTAAAGTGACTCTGATTAATCACAAATAAAGTTCAGCTGTTCTAGTGGTATTTTCTTAGTTGCATCTCCGAGCAAAAGCCGTGGTCCGCAGAGAGATCTCATTGTTGAAAGACATAAGTCAGGAGACAGGTACAAAATAATTTCCAAAGGTTAGATATACCTGGTTACCCTAAATTGTCCTTAGGTGTGAGTGTGAGCGTGAGTGGTTGTTCGCCTATGTGTGGCCCTGCGATGGACTGGTGACCTGTCCAGGGTGTACCCCGCCTTGCACCAGATGTCAGCTGGGATTGGCTCCCCCCCGCGACCCTGTACGCAGGATAAGCAGTTGACGATGGAGGATGGATGAATTAGATATACCATGGAACTCAGACAGTCATCATCAAGTGGAGAAAATATGGCACAACTGTGACTTTACCAAGAACTGGACATCCCTCCTAAATTGATGAAAAGACGAAAGAAAACTGGTCAGGGAGGCTTCCAAGAGGCCTACAGCAACATTAAAGGAACTGCAGGAATTTCTACTACTGGCTGTGTGGTACATGTGACTATCTCCCGTATTCTTCATATGAATGGGCTACAGGGAGGGTGGCAAGACGGAAGGCTTTTCTTACAAAGAAAAACTTCCAAGCACGGCTGAAATTTGCAAAAACAAACATCAAGTCCCCCAAAAGCATGTGGGAAAATGTGTTATGGTCTGATGAAACCATGGTAGAACTTTTTGGCCATAATTCCAAAAGGTATGTTTGGCGCAAAGAACACCATACCCACAGTGAAGCATGGTGGTGGCAGCATCATGCTTTGGGGCTGTTTTTCTTCAGCTGGAACCGGGGCCTTAGTCAGGGTGGAGGGAATTATGAACAGTTCCAAATACCAAGCAGTTTTGGCACAAAACTTTCAGCCGTCAGTTAGAAAGCTGAAGAGGAAGTTCACCTTTCAGCACGACAACGACCCAAACCACACATCCAAATCCACAAAAGCATGGCTTCACCAGAAGAAGATTAATGTTTAGGAATGGCCCGGCCAGAGCCCAGACCTGAATCCAACTGAACATCTGTGGGGTGATCTGAAGAGGGCTGTGCACAGGCGATGTCCTCGCAATCTGACAGATTTGGAGCGCTTTTGCAAAGAAGAGTGGGCAAATATTGTCATGTCAAGATGTGCCATGCTAATAGACTCACCCACAAAGACTGACTTCTTTAGTAAAATCAAAAGGTGCTTCAACAAAGTATTAGTCTAAGGGTGTGCACACTTATGCAACCAGGTTATTTGAGGGTTTTTATTTTTCATTTTTCCCCCTCAAAGATTTCAATTTGTTTTTCAATTCAATTGTTCACATTATAGGTCACATTAATGGTGGAAAAAGTTCTGACACGATTTATCTTTGTCTCATTATTTTAAATCATAAGAACCTGGCATTTTAACAGGGGTGTGTAGACTTTTTCTATCCACTGTATCTATTGAAAAGATGACCTGGGAGATCAGACAGGAGTGTCAGATGAAAGGAGCTGATCTGGTGATCATCAATAGTGAAGAGGAATAGGTGAGAGGGAGGGTTCTAGTGATGACAAATTAACTCAGTTTTGAAATCAATTTGTATGTTTATTAATCCGAGCATGTAGATTGCTAAACTAAGTGCATGGGCAGACTGATAAACATTCATACATTTACCTTCAATATTTTTAGTTTAACATCTTGTGCTGTAGTTTTACTTTCACTTTTTTTTTTATTGTTTTGTGTTGCTCGTATTCATTATAATGTTTCACTTGTTTATCATACTCACTGTAATATTCTAAGATCTTAAAATAGTCAGCATCTTTATGTAATTTCACAAGAATAGAATAAATAGTATGTTATTACAATTTCTAATAATATGTCAAATTGTTTGCTTTGATTTAGTTTATTGACAGCAATCTAATATGTAAAATACAACATCTCAGACTTTATTGAGGATAGAATATTAAAGTCCTGGACTTGTTTCTATTGATGTCCCTGTTTTTTTGACAATCTTCAGACATACGTACTGTGTGCATTCTGTCTCAAAATCATTCCTTTTTGCCACTGCCACCAAGTTATTTCTTCCAGAGAAGAGTGATTATATCTTAAAGGAGCAACTGAACTTGACCTTCCAGTCAATTATATTTTCACCTTGCTGCTGTGATGTTGTAGCATCCCTGTTGTGTGTGCCTATTCGTCTCCGGTGCCAATTCCAGAAGCAAACAACTCATTAACACAATTAAAATCTAAAGACTCCAGAGTAAGCCAAGATCGAAGTGATTTTCTTCAGAGCTCCTTTAGTGTGAGAAGATGGACTGCCACTCTTCTGACTTGCAGAAACAAATTACTTGCAAATATAGACTTTTAGTAGTATTTCACTCAAATTTGGCCATTTGTTATGAATACCTAAAACAAGAGACCTCTCAGCACTTGGTATGTCTGATTATCTCTTGGTCTGTCTGTCTCATTTCTTGACTTTGTCCTGACTGTGTCTACCTCACCCGCCCTGCTTCCTGAGTCTATGATTCCACAGTTACAACGGACAACAACAAACTGACAGAAGAATGAGAGGCATTGACAGAAAAGTATAATGATGATGATGTTGTGTATTATCATAGAATCTGTTTTTATTCACAACTGTTTTACATGTAAACTTCTTGCAAAAGCACATGTACATAATATAATGTTCTGGAGCTGATACTATGAAATGATAAATGGATCTTTCTCACAGAGCCAAAGCCGCTTGGCTCCACAGGGGGCATCATTCCAGCTGCCCAGCACTGTGTGGCGGTGATACATGTTGTTAGGACCACCACGATCCGGCTGGTCCGACTGCCAAAATTTAAATGACAGAAAAATGATGGAGGCCAGGGAGAGATAAGCAATTTAATATACACATATACAGTATTTTTCCTTCCAAAACTGAAATGTGTGTTTTGCTAACTTGTGAGGACTAAAGTAGTGGAGATGATGGTATGTTGGCTAATTTAACTGTTTAATGAAAAAACCTGCAGCCTAATCATTTTGTGTGAGCCAAGTAGAAGTCTTTACACGGATCAACTTGGTACTTATGACCATGTAACAAGCCAGGATACGTTTGGCTGGGTCTACATTGTCTTTAGTCGAACTGGGCTGGGTAAGGCCCCGCTGTATTGCCACTGAGAAAAATGGGTTGGTTTTTTTAAGGAAGATGATCCTGGCAACTGTGAAGGGCAGGGGAAAATACCATGTATTCCTATTCCTTTCAACTTTTTATTTGGGGTCGCATGATGTTGCTGCATGTATTCTCTTTTTAACCCTATGCATAGTTATATGTATTTCCTTTTTATGCACGTATTTATTAACTGTGTCATAGCTAAATGAAAAACGTATGTCAATTAATGCAGATAATTGCCAAATAAACAAATAAAATCATAACACAAAACAAAGTCAAGAGGTACATTGCGTTTCATTGACTGCCAGTGCTAAATACAAAGCACTTCATTAGTTTCTGTGAAGAGGTGCAAAGGGGAATTTTTCTTTTTGGAGACATAATCTCTATAGCCTAGCACTGCATACGCAGCATATATTTCTGTGATACTAAGGTCTTATTGAGTCAACATGTCTGGCAGAAAGATTCAGGGTCATTCTAAAAGGCTTACTGTTTGGTCAGCACAGATCCATCCACCCATTTGAAGCTCCCAGCTGTGTCATACAGACCAATCCAGAACAAGAGTTCAGCATTCCCATCCAGACAGTACAACGCCCTCTGTTGATTGAGATCATGAAAAATGAAACTTCAATAAATGAAGTTCATCAAGAATGGCATACACACATGGGTGCACAAAGACCTAGACAGAGCTTTACTTTACTTACCGGTTTCTGTTCACTGCGATCACCACCAGGTCAGCATCTTTACTCTGACAGTATCTTCTGCTGTCCTCCCATGTTTTATTCTCAGTGGAGAGGAAGTAAGATCTGGAGTTGATCTTCCTCCAGTCCACAGGACACTGCTGAGAGGACCCACAACCACTCAGCTCTGGAGGAAAAATAAACAAACACATTAGAGATTAGATCCCATTTTGATGGAGAGCTATAAGTACAAAAATATACAAATTAGTGCTTAAAATTTTTTAATCGCTATTAATCGCATGATTTTCTTGCGATTAATCGTATTTGAGCAAAATTGAATAATGAATTCTACTGTAGTGTATTGCGCACTTTTAATTTAAATGTACTGCTATATACACAAGTGCAATAACATGTGGTTTGCAAACACTTTAAACAAATAATCTGATTTTTACCAGCAGCATTCCCTTTACACAGTAGCAATAAAATATTCTTGTAAATCTCGACTTACACAATGAAATCAAATGTAAAACCAAAACTATTTGCCACTGCCAGGGCATTACCTTTTATCTAGCTTGTTAAAACAAATTAAAGTCCATAGCCACAATCATAACATAATAACAGGCTGTTACGAGGTTGTGTGGTGTGTGGACAGAGAGGACCCAAATGCAGCACTCTGAGGGAAGGAGGTTTATTGAGGGGAAAAAGGGTGAGAGGGACTGGAGTGGAGGGAGAGGAGGACGTTGGGGAAACGCAGGCACGGGGAACCAAGGAGCCTGGAGGCCAGGGAGCTGGGGAACACTGGGGCTGAGGTAGCCAGGAGCGGTGGGAGGACAGGGAGGACGCCGTGGGGGAGGTCCGAGGAGGAGAGGGCCGGTGGATGAGCCCAGCCGACTGAACGGAGGACGAGGGTGAGTGTACCTGGGAGGGAAACAGACAGAGAGACAGGGTTAGAGATAACAGAGACAAGGCATGGGGTAAATGTGAGAATAAAACAAGAAACAGGAGAGCCTGAACGTGGGGGTGGCACCGGGTATGGAGCAACAACGATCAAGCGAGGATGGTGTGGAGAACTGGGGTTGAAATACAGGCAGGCATGAGGCGATTACTGGCAGGTGTGGCAGGCTGACGAGGTGGCTGATGAGATGCAGGTGCAGGTAGTTGGCTGGGCTCAGGAGCAGAGGGAGAGAGAGAGCACACAGGGGAGAAAACACAGGGAGGCAGGCAGGGAACAGAAAACCAAGGAAAAAGCGGAATAACTGACAAAAAGGAGAAAAAACCAGGACACTCACCACAACACAGGCACCGTCTGAGCAACAGGTTAACATATATAAATACACCCGCCCGCCAGTTGGTAAAGTTGAATTGTCTTGAACTTTTTGTAAGCGATGTGCAGCACAAATCAAGAGAGAACGAAGAGAGACTGATCCTCACTGTTTGTGAGTTTCCAGAATCTATTACTGTTCACTAAATAGGACATCAACACGAGGGAATTCGCACGGCAGAGCATCCCCGCATAACTAGATGAAGGCCAATCAGGTAAAGTTATGTAGCCTATAATTTTAACTTGAGTTACATAGGCTACAGCTGTGTAGCGCACTGAAGCCGTTGCCATGCTTACTTTCAATAGAGCGCCTGTCATTTACTCGCGAGCGCGGTCTCCCACACAAGGCGTCCGAAGCCTCCCTCCACTGCTTATTTGGGTTGGTGATTTGCTGGCTGATCAACATCCCACCCTTTCTGTGACCCCTGGTTATGTTTAGGAAATCAAAAAACTTTGGTTAAGGTTAGGCAAAGATAGTGGTTTTTATAATATATTGAAAAGTAAATTATGTCTCATGCTTCAAGTTAGCACTGATTATCTCAGCATTTAACTAAGAGCACAGTCTTTAGCCTACCAAACCTTCACCAAGTGCTTTGAGTGCCTGAATATAACAATAACCATTGCATTGCGAGCGAGTGTTGTTAACACATTTATACAATGTCAGTGAATGTTTTGCAGATAAGTTCAGTGTCAACATTTTGCGACTTTATACATTTATCAAAATTGGAAGTCTGATATTAGTGTTATTTCCAGCTAAAAAAATAAAATCACTTGATGATAGTTTACAATTACTATATCAACCTATGTTGTTTAACAGTATACAATAAAATTATGTGTATTATTACCTGTTTCTTTTGCATCCCCACTGCATTTCTGCTCATGACAGGGTTGCTCATTAATATAATCCGATATCTCTATTTGCTGCATATTTGGGTTCAGGGTATAGTCTTATCAGTGAACTTTGAGTTTCTTTTGATGCGTGTCTTTGTAAAGGGTTAGCTAATACACTCATTACAACATGGTTAACAGATTTAAAACAGAGGAAGAAACAAGTATGTGGACATACAAAATACATCACAGTAAGTAAGTTACACTTGAATTACTGAAAGAATATCTATTTATATGTGAAAAGAATATCTACTTTTAATACATGCAATTTCTTCATCTTCCTTTTAACTTTGTAGTATACTGTGTATAATACTCAGTCCCATTAAAAGCTGTCTTCATGCACCTATGGAGAAAAAAAGCATTGAAAGGGTCAATAGAAATGTGTTTGTGTGGTAAAAGGGCAGGCATGAGTCAGTGTGCAAGGGTCAATAGAAATGTGTTTGTGTGGTAAAAGAGCAGGCATGAGTCAGTGTGCAAGAATACAAATTAATCACTTAATTCATGTGTATTGTATTGCGTGATGTTAAAATGTGTAACACACTCTCCATTATTGCACATCACCAAATTAACTATGTGAAACAGTCACATAAGAGGAAAACTGATAACACAGTGCTAACACTACACCTTGAAAAGCAGGAGTCGGATGCCTATATAAATTCAACTTGCACTGGCATTTTACAGATCATTGTGTAGACTTAAAAACACACACACACAATTAGTAAAACTGGCCGAAATTAACATTTTCATCATATGACATCCCACATCTTATTTTTCATTGCGACTTCATCATATCACCCTCAGCTCACTCTACAAAACTGTGTATGCATTGTCTGAAATAAGTGCGAGGCGAGCAAGTTACATCTTGTTTTTATAAGTGTCTGCTGTGGATGGAGGCTTATGTTTTCAGTCCAAAAATGTCCAATTGGATTCAAGGATAAACTGATTAGAATTTGGTTGTCAGATGTCAGTGGTCCAGGTCACTGTGACCTCACAAAGAATATTTTTGGCCATAACTAGAATAGATTACCATTTTTCACATATGGCCACATTTGATTCAAAGGTCACAGTGACCTCAAAATTACCTTGACAAACACATTTTTGGCCATAACTCAGTTTTCTCCCATCTTGACAAAATAGTCAAGTATATGTATACCTGTTTAGCCAATAAATTCAGTTCAACAATGTATATTCACTGGAATCATATGTATCATCAATACAGTTACAAGTTCCATTTAGCAAAAGAATGCACTTTATACATTTTATTCAATTCCTTCCAAGTATTCACTACACACAAGTCTGGACAGACTTGGATAAAATGCAACCAGACTGTTTGGCGGAGGCAAACAACCCCAGGCCGGTAATTCTAGTTCATAAATGTCAGTTTATGTTCAGGAAATGACATAAGCATGAGTATGTCATGCTTTCGTGGTTTCACATGCTTTAAATTCCTCATTATTTAATTTCCTTTGACATTTAACTCGAACTTTATCTTCTTCTGTCACGCGAACTGCAAGTCTTGGTTATAATTTGTTACTGTGGCAGGAAGCAAAAGGATGGAATGAAAAACACCGGTTTACAAGACCTGACAAAAAAGGTTTAGATGACAGCTTCATAACTGATAACCATTATAAAGTAAATAAATAAAGTAACTTTATACTTTTGTAGCATACTTCTGCTTTTTGTTAGGAACCAGATTAGTGTCCAGCTTTGGCAACAATGTTGCCTTTACAAGTGATGACATTTTGTGTTACAACATAGCACTTATTGTGATTCTCTTGTCACATGGCTACATGACAAAGGAGAGGAACAATCCCTTTTATTTTGATGTCACATCTACTTATATAAGCAATATGTATTATTACAATATACTTCACTGTCCAATATTTTCAGGCAGATCGATTTTGATTTAAAAAAAAATTTTAATGGCTCAGAGCCTCTAGATATCCACTCCTCTCAATGTAATGTTTTAACAAAGCCAGATGTGTGCTGTGTTTTTATGTCATATTTTAGCAGTAATTTTAATATGCACACGTATCCCTAATTCCATATTCCTCTGATCTTAATTTTTTTGTATGATATTGATGAAATTAAATGGACAAATAAACTTAAACTTAAGGCACAACAACTGTAGGAGAGTTCTGAATGATGTTTTCAAATGTATTAGTTGTGTAATATTAAAGAAACCGAAATGATGAAAGGACTGTTCTGCAAAGGAGAGCGTAAAGTTCATCTGTAGAAGTTCATTCATAATTCAAAAAAAGAGAATTGTATAAAATGTGCTTGTTTTAAAGAATAAGAAAATATGTGATACAGTGGTGTGGATTAAATTATATTGTAATTTTAAGGCCTGGGTTTGTTTAGCAAAAATAACTTAATAGAGAAATAACTTAATATAGTCAACTTTAAAGATTTTCCACTTTATGGGTAACCAAAGATCTAAAGCTTTAGTATGGAGAAGTTGTTCAAGTCTAGGAAAAATGAGGAAGCAAACATATAAAAAGAAGTGGATTACACATCATTGTCACTCTTAGAAAACAAATTCTCCATCACTGTTGTCACGCTCCAGTCGTTGGGCAAAATATGGTGAGGTTTGTCTATAAAGAGCAATCTGAGATCACTATGGACTATGTTAATCTACCTGATGCATCAGCCAAGAGTAATAACCTAAAGAGTGGTTCTAGGGACGACGGTGGAGTGACTGCTGCAGTGCCTGGTGAGACAGAAAACTTACAGTTTAAAAAACATTTTAAGTTTTACCCATGAAAGTATTATGAATAAAAATGTTATTGTTTAAAAAAGCTAATACACTGTTTTTCGCATATATTTAAAAATTTATAAATATTGCTTTGATGTGATATTTAGTCAGTCATTTTGCACAGTTGTTTTTTTTTTTTTTAACTTTGTTTAATCTACATGATGAAGTACACAATGGTTTTTGGAACGCATTTTTTGCAGGACTTGTGTCAAAACCCTGATGCCAGGTCACAGGGCCCACATACAGTCCTACCAAAATGCCAAGAGCAGAATCTTCCTGATAACACTGTAAACCTACTTCTTGTGACCGGTAGCTGAGCAATCCATGTTTGTCTGATTTCTGCACTCAGGGAGAAAACTCTACAAAGTGGTTGCTGTGAGCTTTGGGCTCCTGTGTATCCTACAAGCTGCTCTCAATATTTCCCTGCGTCTGGCTCTCTGTGAGTCAATTTAAACCGTGTCTTTCTCTATGTTTGCTCTGTGTTTCCTAAGACTTTTTTTGAAATTCTCTATTATAAGACCAGAAAATGGATCTGGCTATCACCACAATCTTATCATTGCATAAGAATTTGTGATTAAGTGAAATTCATACATAGACACAAGTTTGGGGAAGTTTAGAATCAGGAACAATTACGAGGCATAATAACAGCACTAGAAAGTTATTGTATTATGTAAGATTAGGTAAGAAGAGGACGGTTCTTTCCAGTTACTTAATTTATCATATTTTGTCATACGCAAGTCAAAACTTTCAGCCTTAAACCTACTTATAGTCCAGAATACATTAAATCACACATAGTTGGATCACGTTTGTTCCCCAATATCCACATGTCAAGGAGTCCTTGACAAGATACTGAACCCCAAAGTGCTCCCACTGCATGGTGGCAAGTGCTCCCACTGCATGGTGGCAAAATCATTAGTTTAATGTAATGTAATGCTTGACACATCAATTATCAATTAAGTATTTCCACTCTTTCAGACCACTCTGAAATGAAGGCCAGCTGCAAAAACCTGACTGAAGATCCTGACGAGCTGAAAAGGAAACTGACTAACACTGGTAAGTATGAGGATGTAATTCCTCATACCAATAATGAGAGCTTGCAGCACATTCAGGGCAATCTTGGGCAAAACTGGGTATTACAAACAGTATATCAGATTATATTATATCAGAGATATACAGATAAAAGCACATAATAAATCTTGTCAATGACAAACGGACTGATATGATGATCTACTGTTGTACAGTGTATCAGACTTTAAGGTTATAGTGGGGTTTTATTTTGGGGCAGAGACTGTACATACAATTCAGAAGAACGGTGTTTGTTTGTTTCCAATCTTTATGGCACATTCACTTTTTGTATACATGTTCTCCTCATATCAATCATATGTTTTTCCTCCAATGCCACTTTCAAGTAGCCTATAGAAAAGGCCCTCGTGCCAGATGGAATCAAAGGCTTTTTGGAAGTCAACAAAACAGGAATATACCTTTCTTTTCTTCATTTTTAATTCTTGATCAAATACACAATAATCACAATACTACTACTAATAATAACAATAATCACATACACTGTCTATTTTTATTTGACTTTCTGCACATTCCAAACTAACAAACACCGAAAGTGTTCCTACTGCATGTTGGCAAAATTGTTAGTTTAATTTAATGTAATTCTCAATGAAGTATGTCAACTCTTTCAGACTGTTCTGGAATAAAGGCCAGCTGCAAGAACCTGACTGAAGATACTGACGAGCTGAAGAGAAAACTGTCTAACTTTGGTAACTACAAGGATGTAACTCGTCATACTAATATTGAGAGCTTACATCCAGAGACACATTCAGTGCAATCTGGGGGGAAACTGGGTATTACATAGAGTATATTAGAATATATTATATTAGAAATTGGTGTTTAAAAATGTTCATCCTTCACTGTTTACATACATAACATAAGCAGAATATTGAAAACACCTCTCAATATGATGCAGTCCAGTACAGCACGGTCTGTAACTACCTGTAACCTCAGGGCTAAAACATAATTTAATAAATACTTCTATGAAAGTGTCAAAAAGAACTGAACGTTAGACTTTTTAAATGTAGACTTTGTGGCAGAGCAGGTGGATTGCATTAGACTATACAGGTGTAAAGTGGCTGCTGACTTTTATTTTGAGCTTTAAAATGCTTAATTTACCATTGGTGATTCTTAATTAATATTCACATTTTTAAATTGGTCAATTTATTAATGGAAAATAATTAAACACTGTTAAAGGAAGTAAATAAATTATTATTTTGGTGGCAAACTTGAGGCTCGTTTTGATTCTCTAGATTTTATTTCCCAATTCCTGAGATATTAAGGTTCTCTTTGTTTTTATCCATAACAGATCAGTATTTCCAACAAGGTTGGGTGTATTTCCGTCCCAGTTTCTATTACCTTTCTTCTGTCAAGAAATCCTGGCAAGAAAGTAGAGAAGACTGTCTGCAAAGAGGTGCAGATCTGGTGATTATCAACAGCAAAGAAGAACAGGTGTGTGTATTAATTTGTGAATAAGTATGAGTTTGAGGTTAAGAGAGACAATAATAAGAGTAATTGTAAATAAATGTAAATGAATGTGATGTGTAGGATGAATTCTAATCATTTCCATTCTATTGATTACTGATTACTGCTTTTCTCTGTAAATAAGGAATTCATAAGAAAAATCCGCACGCTCATGTGGATTGGACTGACATTTGGAGAAAGGAAAGAAATGTGGAAATGGGTGGATGGCACTCCACTGACAAAAAGGTTCACGCATTTCTCTTTAATTCAAATTCAATGCTGAAACTAAAGGCCTTTCAGCTTCTTTTAGTTTTTTACGTTAGATTAATAAATTAATCAATATTGAATTACAAGGAACATTTTATTTTGCTAATGAGACCTGGTCACATTCCAGCATGTTGTTGTCTATCAAATGCTTCTTGGGTTGTGTTCTTTGTTTAAAGATAATTTGTTTTTTATAGTTTCAGCTACTGGGGCCCTGAGGAGCCCAATGCCTTTGAAGGCAAAAATGAAGACTGTGTAGAAATAAACTTCTATGATATGGAAAACAACTGGAATGATATACCATGTGAAGACCAAAACTTCTGGATCTGTGAAAAGATGGTGGCTTTATGACTCAGCATATAAAACTAACTAAGACTAATTCACTTTTAAAATACAGTACAGCATTCACAATCCTATGGCTCTGTACATATGAGTGACTAAACTGTATCAATGTCTTTGTGGGAATAGTAACCACTGAGCTAGATGTATGTTGTGAAAGTGTTTCTTGTAATGTGTTTAAAACAGAATAAGAACTGAGAGTGATATTTCTTGACAAGAGACCCTATATGCAGCCTTCTGGTGAGTTGTTGTCATTATTGTGAACAACAGCGGCCTGAACCCCGTCTGTTCAGACGTAACACTGGGAAGGACCCCATCCAGCTGATGACTAATTCATTTGTAACATTTTTACCATCCACATCTAATAAGAAATATGTTGTCAGTTAACATGAGTGTGATTATTGCTTGGCATAATGTCAAGGGAATGAAATACTAAACAAATCTAACCACAAACACATCAGCACCAAGAGATTTGACCTTTTGGATAGCTTTAATCGCTGCTGTAGCCTCTGGCATAATAAATGTTTTGTTAAATTCTGCTAATGCTTGTAATAGAAATTGTGGTTAGTTAGTTATTGTTTACTAGCCTAAATATGTGTAGCCAACTCCACTGGTGGCTGGAGGTTACAAAAAACGTTTTTTTTAAACTATTTGGTGTAGTCAGAAGTTATGTCAAACAGCAATATTAAACTATTTTGTCTCAAATGTTGAGTATGGGATAAAATAATATAATCATGATCCCTTAGGCATTTAGGAATTGAGTGAATCTTACCAAGTAAACTAAAGATGTGGTTTGGGGGCGCCGTTTCCCAAGCTTTGTCTGAAGGGATGCCCACAGTCTCAGACTTTGAAAACCTCTGATATAAACAAACTCAGCATAGCTTCTAAATCTACTAGCGGCACGATTTTAAGCCCAAATTGCCTGTCGGTGAGCTCAGCGACCATCGGGCTGTGATCAAGGGTAATTCAGCGATTGATCGGCGGCCACCAGTTGTTATATATGAACTACTCAATGACGCAACAAAACAGCTCCCCGACGCATCGCTGACACATCGCCGATGCCAGCCAGATATCTTGCATAGCAAATATCTGGAGGAGTCGGCCAACTCCACATCCAGCCAATGAGAGCAGGCAGCTGGCAGAGCAGGCAGCTACTTAACACTTTTTACTTGCCTCCAGCTCTCTCTGTAGTACAGACGATCCCTGCTACCTACATATGCTAATGCATTCTTTCACCCATATTCTTTTATTGGTAATTGGTATTTTTATTATAACAAACAACAGCTGTTTCATGTGTAGGTTTGCGTCATTTCCTGTTTCACATTTCACTTGTGTTTTCTTGACAAAACGTGGTTTGGAGACCAGCGTCAGGTGACACAGCCGCATCAGCTCGTGTAGTGTGTGACCCCCTGTCACCGATCAGTCACGCAGTGTGAATGCCATAATGGCTTCGAGACTCCAATCACAAAACGGCAAGTTGTGTAGTCTAAACAGCACGCCGATCGGCCAGCGCTGAAAGTCATGTACTCTGCACGAGCCTTAAGACAACCTGGAAAGTCACCCAATTCAGGGACAATTCAGTAGTCGTTGGATTTTTGTAAGACATGCCCCTTTTAAGGAGCTATACTTAAAATTATTTTCCCTGTATTACTTGGAATCTGTATGGTGCAGCTTTTTTGTCAAGTTGGGTAAAAAAGCAGAAGGTTATTTGCCATTACATTCTGTATCATGTTAGAGAATTTAAATAATACATAATACATTTATTCATTACATTTATTCATTTAGCTGACGCTTTTATCCAAAGCGGCTTACAATTGCTATATATCTCAGATCACATGCCTCTGGAGCAGCTAGGAGTTAAGTGTCTTGCTCAGGGACACATTGGTGGATGTGTCACAGTGGGGAATAGGACCCGTGTCTCTCACACCATAGGTATGAGTCTTATTCTCTACAACATCACGCCCCCATACAGTGAGGAAAATAAGTATTTGAACACCCTGCTATTTTGCAAGTTCTCCCACTTAGAAATCATGGAGGGGAAGGCAGAGGAAAAACTACAGGAAACGTTTGACCTCTGTAATTGCAAACAAAGGCTATTGTACCAAATATTAACATTGATTTTCTCAGGTGTTCAAATACTTACAGCTATATCATACAAATAAATAGTTAAAAAATCATACATTGTGATTTCTGGATTATTTTTTTTTAGATTATATCTCTCACAGTGGACATGCACCTACGATGACAATTTCAGACCCCTCCATGATTTCTAAGTGGGAGAACTTGCAAAATAGCAGGGTGTTCAAATACTTATTTTCCTCACTGTATCTACTGTATGTGAAAGTAGAGAGGCAATCACATAATCCCAGCAAAACAAAAAGGGAGATACAAAGTTACAAAACATTGATGAAAATGTGTTAATCCACACTGCGGATACAAAAAGAACTGGACCTGCACTCTCAGGTAATACAGAAATAATACAGAAAGAAACCAGGTACAGACCAGTTACAACAACCTGACTGAAGAAGGAGACCAGTTACAGACCAGTAACAAAGACAGCAAAGATCACAGAAAGATGCAATGTAACCAGAGAAAGCAATTACTGAACAAATTGTGATAAAGGGTGTAAAATATAGTATAAGCAATGAAAGGTGTTGAAATGAGAGTTTTAGTGTATGTGCTTAAATTATTTCAAGTGTGTGGAGAAGGAGTTAAGGTGTCATACAAGTGTCTTAGTTGGAATAAGGTTACTTAGGTCTAAGTCTTATAAAATATGCATTAGAGGCCTTCGGTCAATATTTTGTCAGATGTCAATTTCCATCAGTTTGTCATTAATAGTAACTGGCTAGTAGCTAAATTCAACACCATTTTTGATTTCATGATTTTATTTAATTATTAACTCGATATCTGAGAACAACTAAAAACACTGGATGGACAACAACAACAACACAAATATTTTCTCACATTCTAATAATAAACAAGAGAAGTTTTGGGGCGATGATATCTGGTTTAATAGCATGTAGGCCACTAATAATGTTTTGAAAATTATTGCAATTGAAATTGTCATCACAATAGTTGTTTTCATAACAGTGGCAGCATACAACATGCGAACACATGCCTTGTCAACACCAAATCTGAAGATGGTCTGCTCTTTTATTTTGCACAGATGTGGACATTTACCATTCCTCCTTTAACTCACTGTCTTTCCTTAGTGTTTATAAGTTTTTCCCCAGAGGGTCATCTAGCCTAAATCTGAACAGCCAATCTGCTGGGTGTCATTGCCTACATGTAGGTGGGTACCCTATGACATGCGTCATAGCCTGATGCGCACCTCCCCAAAAATGTTACGACACGTTGCAGCGACACAGAACAAGAACTCTGATTGATCAGCTTGGTAGCATCACATTTCCTCCTGCGCATTTCCAACTTGTCTTTTTTCTTCTGCCTCAAGCATTCTACGTCTGGGATCTGGTAGTGACCCCCAAGCTTGACCTCTACATTAGCTGTATCTCACCTGTTACCTGGATTATGAATATTCCCTCACTGTAACAAAGGTCTGGAGTGTTCACAGATTAGGCCATATGCACTAAAATTCTCTCAAAAGAATCCCATAGTTTATTCTATTCTTTCAGCCCTTTAAATGCAGGTACTACAGCATGTTGGTCTAAATGAGCTTATCAACATTACTAACAGGTCTAAATGTATCACAGTACAATCACAGTACTGCATGTCAAACATTCTGCCAGCAGTAGTGGTGGTGAAAGCATACAAATCTGTCCTTGCACCATTAAATTGATCTTTTTTTGGATTTTGTTTCGCTGGTTATCTGAGGAGAACAGGTTGCCCACTCATGACTCTGCTGTTGAGTTTAGCCCCAGAGCTGCTTCAGTGTGATGTAACTGTATGACATTACATGAAATCCACAGAGTATTGCAATAGTGTGGAAACTTTTAACCAGTAGGGAACCAATGATTGAGTAATTTCTGCTTTGTTTGAAGAAGTCCTATTTGTGCACAGAAACCTGCCAGCAGAGATGAAACTGCTGAAAATGTGGGTGTCTTGTTTCATTTTAATGGTGTCAGGTGATGTAACTTCCTTTAACAATTTGCTAACTGGAAATCTATCTGGAAATATAATAAAAATATGGAAAGAATAATAATGTCTTGTAAATCATAATGCTTGGTTTTATATTTATGTTTTCTTCAAAACATAACTTTTAAACTGAGTGAGAGAAATAAAAATACATTACATAAAAATCAAGGAAAAGTGTACAAACCAAATAAAAATTTGTTAGAAATAACAACCAGTATGAACGGGAGGAATGAAAGGATGTATCCTTTAAGCTGTAAAGCATTTTGAGACATCTGTGTTCTTACCGTGCTAAGACAGTTTTGAATTGTGTCTTGTATAGAGTTAAACAAGAGATACAGCTGTGTGTCATCAGGACAAAGATACGAAATATCAAAGCACTAAAAATTATACGGCCAAAGGGGAACTTTGTACACAGAGAACTAGACTGTACCAAGAATTGACCGTCACTACGATCCCCTGGAAATTAACAAAGACAGATTTACAGAACATGTACAGTGTAAGTTGTGCCACTATTTTCTCTATAATAATAATTATTATATATTAGTAATTGGAGCTTGGAGGTTTATTATTATGATTAAGTGCTTGATCTATTAGTGTTTTTCAGAGCTGGGGAATTTAACGAGTAACAATAAATCAACTGATAATTAAATGTAGGCTAGACCAATTCTATCTACACCTTTTGTTTTTCAATAAAGATGGCTCCATTAACTCTATCATATCACAGCCAAGGTTTTAAACCAAGCTTTACAATTTGAAGAGGAAGCTCTTGAAACTTGATTTTAGAGACAGGAGATCACACACTACTGAAGGAAATAAATAAATGCAAAAAAAAAGCACCTCAGAAGTCATTCATCCTCTGGGCATCATGAATATCTGTAATACATTTTAAATTTCTAAAAAGTTTTACAACCCAAAAATACCCAATAACCCAAAAATACATAGAAAGGTATATATAGGCTTGAAAATATCCCAAGTAGGAAAAAGATTAAAAACTGTAGAAAATAGTACAAAAACTTCAAAGTGAGGAGATATGTCACATTCACTTCTTGATATTGTGCATATTAAACTTCACAGAAACCTTAGAGGCTTTATTATTCATGGTGTTGAATCAACTTGCATTGTATAACAAGTTTTATTTTTTGTGATGAAAGTTGTCAAACTTGTGGTCATGCAATATATGTCAATAATAAGTAACAATAATGATAACTCAAATCTCAGTCTGATGCACAGGTTTCAACTGTCAAACACACTGAAAAAGTAAAAGCTTCTAGTGTGAGTTGAGAAACAAAGACAACTTTCTGAAAAATGAGGAAGAACAAGAAAGTGTTGTTGTGAAAGCAGAGAGGAGCATAAAAAGTTCTGATCATAGTTTAGCGCCATTTAAAACTGCTTTGACCAACACAATCATCACTCTCCAGTGGCTAAAATATGGTTGAAAAGGAACCACAGGGCTCTAAGGCGTATGAAAACATCCATGATGTTCCAGCCAGGAATGTTGTGTTTCAGAGCCGCTCTGGTGAAGACAGTAAAGCGACTCCTGCAGCGCCTGGTGAGACACAAATCCTACAGTTCAGTTTTTTTCAGTTTCAGTAAACTGTAAAGTTTTAGGTCATGTAAAGTTTACATTTTAATTTAAAAAAATAAATCCTAAGTAAAGCAAAATAAAAAAATCATGTCATTTTGTTCAAAAATAGTTCTCATCTGCATTGATCATATGCATTTTTCCATATTGTCCTACCTTCTTGTTAAATTTGTTATTTTGTTTCATGTTTACTTTCAGCCACTTGTCGACAGTCAGAGCTGGATCACTTTTAATAGAAAACATGTAAATTATTTACAATAGAATAGAAATTTCCTCTATCTTCAACAAGTTTTACCCTTGCAGTTCAAACCACTACAATTTAGTATGTCTTCAAAAAACTCTTTCCAGTGCCACTTTTTGGTCATGTTTCTTCACATCCAAGTATGTATCATTTGAGACCAGACCCCTGCATAGTTTTGTACATTTTAATTAATGGGAAGGTACCTATCTGTGTGCCATTTGCTTATATATTTGTAAGTGTGTTTGGTTTACTCATAATTTTACACACTAACGCATGCTGTATTAATCAGATGTTTAAAGACTTTAAATAATATGATTAAGCATGGTAGTAAAGTGATCTGCATTGATCTGTAAGTAAATGGGTCAGTCACACTCTTCCCCCCCCCCCCCCCGTGTGTGTGTGTGTGTGTGTGTGTGTGCACGCTCAATACAGGATTCAAACTCAGATTGCTTGCTGTTAGCTTTGGATTCCTGTGTATCCTACAAGCTGCTCTCAACATTTCCCTGCGTCTTGCTCTAGGTGAGTCAACTTGATTTGTGTCCCCATTACTAATTGTAACACCAGAAAGTGCAAGTGGTAACTGTAAAGTTCTGAAATCAAGCTCCAATACAGAAAAGTAGTTTTCAATTATTTAGTGAACTTAATAATGTTCAGTGTTTCTTTTCACAGCCATTTTTATCCTTTGGCTCTGCCTATCTCAAACAGGATCCTCCTCTCTTCCAATCTGTCCTGTCACATCCAAAGCTGAATGAAGCACCCTTCATTAAAGAAATAATGAGGGAGAGCTCACACTGCCGTGAAACAGGAATGGAAGTTTTCATAACCATTGTTTCAAATCTTTCTGAAGCTGCAACTGCTTTTTCTAAGTAGAAATTGTACAATAAGATATTGGCAGGTAGGCTCGGAGCTGTAATGTCTGCCATAACCAAATTATAATATAATAAGCAGAAAGAACAAGATTATAGCTAAGATATATCTTTTAAAGGCATCAATAAGGTTTAGTCGTGTTTTTTTTGTTGTTGTATTCTACTTCATATACTTGCAGTGCTAGTTTTCATAACAAACCACCAAGAAGGGTTGTGTCTTACATTTACATAATACAGATACATTTGTGGATAGTACTGATGTAAAAAAGGCATGATAATAATAAGCAGCGCTCCTATATAAGCTATAGTGACGTCACCGCTGCAGCATAAGGTGGTAATTCTGTCCGCAAATTGATTTATTCTCCCAAATCTACACGAAGCACACACGCCTAGCTATCCGACTTGCACACCCCAAACCATGCGGCCCAATTAATCCAGTGTGGACTTATTTGTGTTCATGTGCGTCCATGTTCAAGTAGCCTAAAGGCCGATTTATACTCCTGCGTAGGGTCTAGGTGCGTACCTACGCCGTAGGCTACGCACGTAGACATGCATTTATACTTGTGTGTAGGTCTGTCCTTCATTCTGCAATTACACCCCCAAACACTAGTCGGCAGTAGCGTCCACTGTGTTGACTTTTGCCGGCCGAGCAGGCTAACTTCCGGTTTAGCGCTCCGCTAACGTAAATGGGGGTAAAATTGTATACGTGCGGCTGGTGTTGCACGTGGTACTTTTGGTCCGCTCGAAGGCATTGCCAGGCTACCCAGCCGACCAATCACAGAGCTTACGGTCCGCGTCGACTCGACATGTAGTTACATTTTGGAGGAGGTGCACGTCAGGCGATTTGACGCAGAAGTATAAATCAGCCTTAAGTGCTGAATAATTGTCACCTTCATGGACCCGTGAACTACCTGTTTCTCAACGGGGGCGTTCCGAGGACGATGGGGGGCGCAGGAAGTAATATTTTAGAAAGAGGGGGGTGTCGGGTCGGAAATAAGGACCGGCCGGGCCAACAAAAGACCTGGTCCCTACCCTAACCAACGTAATAAACTCAATAAAATTACTCTATTAGATTTCTTCTTTAGTCAAAAACTTCACTGGAGACGGTCAAGAGTCGGTGCAAAAGAGTTTATTCCAATAAAGGACAGATAAACCCGAGCAACATCCCTGCAGGTCTCAGGATGGAACCCAGTTGGTGGTCAGCGAACATCGCCTTATATTCACCTTAAGCTCCACCTTGTCCCTCCCTTCGGGTGGGCGTTACATCTTAACTCCTCCTTATCTCCTCCTTCTAGGTGGGCGTTACACCTTAACTCCACCTATAGTGTTCGCTGACCACTCCTCCCCTTTGGTGGATTTCTTATCCTCTACTGCCATCTAATGGCCTTTTTCTTGTACTGTTTAACCCTTTCATTAATGTTACAATTTCCACTTTTTAGCTATTATTATATGTAATTATTGTTACCATTTATCTCTCTTTATTATATTTTTTACATTACTGGATTAGAAATCCACCAATACGTTTCAACTTCAGTCCCACCGTATTTTTTTAAAAGTTATACAGGCATAGTTTGACACCATTAAAACTTAAACACTTACAATCGTATTTTTTAAAAGAATTAATAAGGAATAACATATCTAATACATATATAATGTGATTCAATGAACAAATACATGATTCAACAATGCCAACCATGAGAGTGCTTTGTCTCATATAAGTTTAGTTTCGGCAGCGCAAAGCTTGGTTTCATGCAGCACCTGGCCGTACCCTGCCGTACCAGGCGCCATAAAACACAAAATGTCATGATCTCATTCTTGGCTTCAGTTCGCGATGATCTCAGGCCTGGCGTACGTGACTTACAGCAGGTGCCTTGCTTCTATTGAGTGGGTTACGGTTGGCTAGGTTTTGCCTGCGCGGCCTGAGCAGCCTGAGCAGCTTCTCTGCTCATGTAGGCACATTGAAAAAGCACACGTTCATGAATACACAGAGTATAGGAATAATATATATGATAAACACACAGAGTATAAGAATAAAATATGAGTTTGAACACACTCATTAAACACTCAGTAGTTAAACACTCAGCAGTCAAACTTCACACTAAAAGAATACTCAGTAGTTAAACACTCAGTAGTTATAACATATTGTAAACCATTAATAAGGTGTATAAATATAGAAAAAGAACCTAACAATCAATCTAGGAATATAGAAAAAGAACCTAACAATCAATCTAGGAATTAGGCATTATTCAACAGGGGGCGCTGAGCTGCTTTTGGGGGGCGTTTGTTGGTTGGAAATTCTAAGGTGAGTTTACACTTAAGATTCACAACAATACGAGTTTAAACTTTAAACTACTTGCAAAAAAAACTGTCTGGCTTGCCCCGTGGCCCACATCCACAGTGCTTGCTACGCCGCCTGAGCTGCGACACACTCCGCTTCCGCGGCATGACGGCCGAGAAACGAGCCGCTCTTGCCGTAGAAGCGGCACAATGCAGCTATCTGATCCTAGCTTGCATTCCCAGCGCGCCTACGTGAACCCGCTCGGGCGCGCTGCTAGCTCACCGGCAGTGTTTTCGTGCCACACAGACATACACGCTAAGCTGCCGAAAACTGCTCCAACGAGAGGTCGCAGCGCATCACGGAGTATCCGTGGTAGCAGCAGCCTAGCCCGCTATTGCCGGAGAGATGCTGTCACTAGCCACGTCTCTCCCGTCAGAGCAAAGCAGGGAAGATCGCTCGTTGCCTCTGCGAGCGGCTCACTGCGTCGTTTGGCCGCAGAGGGGACACTATCTCTCCCACAGTGGCCAACAGCTGTGGAGAGGAGAGCTCCCCGGCTCGTCACTTCTCCTCTCGACAGTTCTGCTGATAGTGAACGCATCGCCGTAGACGCTACGACAACACTGTCGCAGGCAATGACGTCAACGGAGCGACCGGCCGTGGTGCGTTCAGGACAACACAATCCGCTCGGGTTATAAAAAAAGACAGCCTTGTTACTGGCTCTCACCTCTGCCAAGAGGGTGAGTGAGCTGTGCGCCCTGTCGATTCATCCCAGCTGCATGCTGCTTCGTGGTGACCACAGTGCAGCAGTGTTAAGACCGAACCCCTCCTTTGTTCCTAAGAACATAAGAAGCTCGTTCAGGTCGAGGACCATACATTTGGATGCCTTCCACCCTCCGCCCCACCCTGGGCCTAGGGAGGCGAGGCTGCATCTGTTGTGTCGCACTGATCAACTGTTTGTTTGCTTTGGTGACGGTGCGATCGTTAAAGCCGGATGGCTTTGTGACTATATCTCACAGGCCTACGTGCAGACGGTGCGGTGGTCCGGGCTCACTCCACACGAGGTGTGGCTGTGTCAACGGCCCTCTTCAACGGGGTGAGCGTCGAGGAGATTTGCACAATGGCATCGTGGTCTTCACCATGTCCATTTGTGCGTTTTAACCTCTTGGATGTGTCGGGCTCCTTCTGTGCTCGCAGGTGCGACTCAGGATCTGTGAGGAAGAAGACTGGTGTCTACCATAGACTACCGGTTGTCGGGGAAAACATTCTTACACTGACTGTGATGTCCCCTGTATGGATCAGGACAGTTCAGGTGCTGGATCAGATCCATCTGGTCATGCCAAACCCCTAGCGGTCTAGTGACCTTTCTGAGGGGTGGCCCACTGCCCCATCGCTTAGGATGGAGGCAGCCTAGGGCCTGTGGCTGGTGACCTGGGGCCGATCGTGTCAGTGAGGTGAGCTGTGGCTTGTCGCGGCTGGGCGGACAGTCATCGGGCTCCACCCATTGTACCCATAGAGTCCAGTAGAGGGCGGAGCCTGTGTGAGATAGAACGAAGGTTACGATATGGTAACCCTAGTTCTATTAGCACAGGCGGAGCCCTCTACGATGGAGCCCTGCCGCTCCACCGCCGTCTCCTGAAAGGTTGGTTGGATGCTGAGCAGTGAGGACACCGCTATTTATACGGTACGCACGTACAGTAGCGACGTCCAATTGGTCGGCTACTTACAGTATTCAAAATTTCAGTGGGTGAGTACATGCGTGTGATAGGAAGAGAGGTATTACCCATAGAGTCCAGTAGAGGGCTCCGCCTGTGCTAATTTTTACCATATCGTAACCTTCGTTCTTGCCAAAGCGGACATCTAGGTAGTTTCAGTAGGTTATAGAAATGTAACGTTAAAAACTGAAGCCCTGTCTTGCTCTGTTGGGGATTGTAAGCAGCACTTTATCAGATGTGCTGAAGTTAAGGTATGTGGAATTATTCGTGAGCTTTCTGTGTGATCACAGGTGTTGTCGGTTAGTTTCGTTTTCCCCCGGCATGAGCACCTCCTCGTGTCATTCAGTTTTGTCTGTTAGACGGCAAGGGGATACGTCCAGCAAATCAGTAACATAATGCAGTATAGGGCATGTAGTAAAATATTATGAATTTTTTAAATAAGCTAATGACGTTAGTCTCCTATAACGTATTTTTTTCTTTACCTGTCAGAGAACACCGATAAGTGGGAGAGATTCCGAATGTGCAGAAAGGTTTGAACATGAGCAGATATGTTACAGTGTTTCCCATACGTTCATTTATTTGTGGTGGCCAGCCACAATATCAATGCTGACAGCAACATATTGATTTTTATTTTATTTAAATTTTTTTAACCAGGCCCATTTAAAATCTTATTTGACTGCAGAGCTGCAGGCAGCCCGTATTCGCGGGGCACATCCTCTCGCTCGAAATTAGGGGAGAAATTTCACCAGAATGGAGGAAATTAAGTGTTTAATGCTCAAAACCTTTTCCATGTTTTTAATAACAATAGTAACAATTAAAAAAAAACAAAATATATTCAGGGCAAATAGCAAACATCTTTTTTGATGGGGGGGCGGTAAGGGATCTGGATAATGGATAGGGGGGCGCTGGCCCAAAAAAGGTTGAGAACCACTGACCTACACGAACACAAGTTCACCAACCCATGTTACAGTCTGTTTAAATGTCCTGTGCTCTGCTGTGCCTCCAATCAATAAATAAAGTGCAGAGAAAGAATACTGGGGTCCTGTCACCAGCATTCTAACAGATGTGAACAGTGAATGGTCAACATTAGAGTCAGCCAGTACAGTCCTCCATTTTAACTGAACAGAAATTCAGATTCCTGGAAGTCTTAAATGTTCCTCTGATCCCACATGGGGCAAGAATGTTAATCATAATATTCGGCATTGAAAACAAAATCAGAACTGAAAAAGGAAACATTGGCATTGAAACATTTGTAGGCCTATTGGAAAAAGTTGGATTGGCACTGATTAAAGTTTCACGGAAATATACTAATCACTGATCCAAAAGGGAAATAAGTGCAATAGTATGAATGTTGCACTCAAATGTTATCTGTGATGAGCTTAGAACGGACCCAAACGCAACACTCAGGTTTAAACTGGTTTAGTGAGGGAAAAGGGGGAGCAAAGGGGGCTGGAGAAGATGGGAGAGGCAGACACCGGGGAACGTGGGTGCGGAGGACCGAGGAGCAGGTGGGGCAGAAGAGGTTCAGGCGAGAGGGCCGAGGGAAACAGGAGGCCGAGGAGGGAAGGAGTGTTGTGGCAGGCATACTGGCGAGGAGAAGCTGGGGGAACGCCATGGAGAAAGTCTAAGGGGGGAAGAAGGCAGGTAGGGGAACCCAGCTGACCAAACGGGGGACGGAGGTGAGCGGACCTGGAGGGAAGACAGATGGACAGACAGGGCTAACTACAGGGAAACTGGGAACGGAGAAGCAATGTTCAAACAGGATCAAAAGGCGCTTGAATACAACAGTGACACCAAGCCAGGAGTGACGACGATCAAGCGGAGATTGTGTGGAGAGCCGGGGTTGAAATACTGGCAGAGATGAGGTAGATTGCTGGCAGGTGTGGCAGGCAGAGGTGGTGGCTGATGAGGCGCAGGTGTGGACTGTCAGCTGGGCTCAGGAAGAGAGAGAGAGGGAGAGCACACGCAGGGGAGGGGAAGAGACACACAGAGAGAGGCAAACCCCAGGGGAAAACAGAATGGCTCTCACCTGCTGGGGGAAAAGGGGAAATAAACGGGACACTCACCGTCAGCCAGGCTGCCACCACAACAGTTATCAGTGCCAAAAAGACTCATGTGATGATCCACAGATGTCTCTTTCAGCATAGAAGAGGAAATACAAAACTAAAACCCTAAATCATGAGACAGGAGGTCAATCTGTCTTCAAAAACAGTGTAGTAAACGGAAAGCTGAAAAACTTAAAATACATCCATCGTCAACCGCTTATTCTGAGCACAGGGTCCCGGGGGGCTGGAGCCAATCCCAGCCGACATCAGATTAGGGGTTTGACGAAACACTTCAGCCTATTAGACATAACATTGTTCAAGATTGGGGCCACAACAACAAGACAAGAATATATTTTAATAGGCCTCCTATTTAGAAAAAAAACGTATTGATGAAATAGTTTATAGGGGGGTCTGGCGGTCCCCCCCCAGAAGATTTTGAGCATTAAACACTAAATTTCCTGCATTCTTGGGACATTTTCTGGAGATATTTTGTGCAACAGGGAAGCACAAAATTCCGGTGGCAGGTGACAATTCATAGAAAAAGAAATGTAACAGAATACAATGCAATGCAATTACAGGCTTATTGTGCAAATAAACCTTCTTCATAGCATTTTTATTTGGGGAGGGAGTAATGCAAGAAACAGAGGGTGGGGGCTAGAAAGAGATGTGATTGGGCCGGCACAGTGTCAGAACAGAAAATTACCCAATGGGCTGCTGTCCACGCTTTATGGGCCAGTTTACTCCTTGATATCAATGTGCCTTTGTATAAGGGAATCGTTTATGCATAACAATATAAAACAAACTACATTACCTGTTATCAATAGATTTAAACACTTTTTCCATATTGTTTGTGCTATTTTCTGGACATGGTGCTGTTGCAACTGGTAATCTCTACCCTCAAATTCCCCTAAAAAATGTTAAGTCTTTCTCCTTTCTCAGCCAAGAAGACACAAGACATTGAGTCCAGATTTAAAAACCTTACTGCAGAGCGAGACGAACTGAAGTCAAAGCTGAGTGACCCCGGTGAGTACAAGGATGAAAATATACAAAACAGTCACGAAATTATTTGCGATCCATGCAATGTTTAGTGATAGTTATCAAATGCGTGATTACATGCTAAGTGATGGTGAACATGATAATTCCAGTCACTGTGAGCATGTTGGCATGCTGATTTGAGCCTTTAGCTCACATCACAGCTGTGCCCAAGTAAAGCCTAACAGAGTCACTGGCATGGCTGTGGAGTCTTAGTCTTGTTAGGGTATAAGTGATAAATAAGTGGCAGTAACAAAGTTTTCATTGATTCTTCTTAATTTTTTTCTTTTGGCTGTTTTAGCAAAGACTTCTTTATAATACTTATTACCTCCTAATAGAATGCAGTTCTGCTGCCTGAGTGGAAATGTATTTGTTCATTCTTCTTGTTACTGAGATATTAAGGATTTGTCTTTTTGTTTTTGTCCTCATTCACATCTCACTATTCCCAACAAGGATGGGTGTATTTCAGCGGTAGTTTCTATTACATTTCTGCTATCAAGAAATCCTGGCAAGAGAGTAGAGATGACTGTCTGCAAAGAGGTGCAGACCTGATGATTATCAACAGCATTGAAGAACAGGTGTGTGTATTAATATGTGAATTGTAGCATGCCTAAACTACATATGAATTTTAATACATTTATAAGAATACCCAATTATGAATTTTAATATTCAGAAAATATTAATCTATAAATCTCTTGTTTCGCGGGGCACCACCGAAGTTGTTATTAACCTAGAGTCTTCGGACCTCTAGGTAGCTTTTTAATAATTATTCAGTCTGGGGCATGGTTCCCCAGAGGGCAGTCCTTCGTTTCCCGCAGGGTGGGCTGTTTCCCGTTTCCGAGGGACTGTCTTTATAAACTTTTAATATGTCTATACAAAGGAAAAGAAAATCTATTTGCGCGTATTATAATCAAATATTTTCCCACGATCAAACCTCAATGTTCAAACGGTTGTAGCGTTCTAAGTTTAAGCATTTGGTAACAGGAAAACAATTGTCAAATTATTAGACCTTAAAAGGTTAGCGTTTCAGAATAATGGCATTAAATACTTATTTCGTCCACTTTTGGGGAGCTCAGGTTACATGACGACAGCTTAGATTAATCCAAAAACAATCTTCTCAGGAGCTGGAAAATTTAGTTATTTAGCCTTAAATTCAAGCTGGCAATTAATAGCGTATAGTATGACATTTCTTTATCATCATTTCTAAATTATGTTGTCAGAAAGCATTGTGAACAAGCATTGGTTACACATAAAATGAAGGAATGTCCTTAACCTTGCTGAAAATCAAAACTGCAAAAGTAACTTATTTTGTTTTTTTTCCAGCAATAATATCAACAACAGATAGCAACAACATGGTAACATAACTACTCAAATGGAGGCAAACGTAATCAAGTAACTAAAAGATTATTTAATTAAACAGGTAATGCTTTGACTCTTTGGAGACTGCAGTCTTTGTTTCCATAAAGTTCAGGCCCGTCCTTGGTGTCCTGGATTTTGTCATACCTGGGTGAGAAGGAGTGTCCCTTTGATGAGAGGTAATTAAACACAGAGCAAGGTCAGTTGCCATGGTTACATGTATGGGGCAGTTTAGGGTTTCCTGCACCTTTCTTTAAGAATAGTTCTGATAGGCTGTTTAGGAAAATGCTAATCGTTGGTTAATGTCCCTTTTGTCAGTTTAACAGTCAGACACCGCGTTATCAGGCTGTGGAATCAAAGGTGCCAGTTTTATGGTCAGGCTGCTCAGGAATAGCACTTAGGGAAAGCAACCTTTCCACCCCCCTTCTGTTGGGGTCTCTTCAGCCGTCTGTAGAGGGTTGATAATCGAACCCCCTTCTCTCTGGCAGAGAAAAGAGGAGTTAAGTCTCCAAATTATTTAATATAAAATGCACAAATCCACACTGTTGGTCCACTACAGAATTAATCTTTGTATTAGACAGAAACTATTTATTAAATGCAACTGAGATAGAGGATGGATTCAAATGTGTTATACTGATGATTGTTTCTCTCTATAAAAAGAATTTCACAAGACAATTGAAGAGTTACTTGTGGATTGGACTGACTGACAGAGAGACAGAGGGATCATGGAAATGGGTTGATGGGACTGCGCTGACAACAAGGTTAACACATTTAAAATTATCACTGTCAACAAAATCCTGCATGTTTCAGTTGATTACATGTTTATTGGGTTGTGTTCTTTACAAAAAACTCATTCTTTGTTCTTGGGTTTCAGCTACTGGGCTGAGGATGAGCCTAATGGCTATGAACTCAGAGACGAAGACTGTGGAGAAATAAGATACCATAAACTGGAAAACAACTGGAATGATAAACCATGTAATAGAACAATCTTCTGGATCTGTGAAATGAAAGTGCATCTCTAACTCAGCATAAAGAGGAAAACTTCAGCCCCCCTTTAGTTCAGTATAGCCAATCACACAAAGTTGTCATTGATCTGTGCTTATTTTGCCAGGAGACTTCATGATCATGTAGTGTTTCGATCAACTATCAAAATGTAAAAATGTGTTCATGCACAATTTCGTTGTTTGCTGACTAAAAATGAGCAATCTGAAAGAAATTTAGCCATTTTTCTGTTGTTTAAGCATTTCACACTTAGATCTTCACAATACAAACCTGAAAATGCCCATATGGACATGCACATTATTAGATTTGCTGGCTTAGTGTGGATCTAGTCTGGAATAGCGTATTACTGCGCTGCAGGGAAAGTGGCAGGTTAACATACATAGAACAATATATCCAACTAGGGTCACTGCTTTGATAACAATAAATAATATAAAAGACTCTAATGTTTTGCATGATTTGATTCATTGTTAAATAAATGTTTTTCCCTCATACGCTGACTGAATTTAAATAAATGTTTTCCTTAATTATTATAATGCAGTATAAATTAGTGTTGCTGGACCTCAATCACTCTCTTTAAGATTTCCACTGTTACCAGGAACAGGTATTTTCCAAGGAATATTGGGACATGAACCAACATATTCTTTACATTTAAAGCCAGTCTTTCCCATGACTAATGCTTTGCAGTGCTGATGCAATGTGGTCCCACTTCTGTCATTTCTTGTCAGGACTACTGCTAGAAAAATCTTCTAATTCCACATCAGCACAGCCGAATTACTGTAAAGCTAATTACAGTGAAACAAACAAGTTTATCTTAATCATGTTGAATCCATTTAACTTGATGCAAGATCACTAAAAACTTTTTATTAACCAAGACAAACCAATGGAAAGCTGTTAAAATAACAATTCATAGCAAAATCCGATTTTCTGTTTCACAAAAAAAATCTACAATATATCTTTTATTAACTTTTTAATCATAATTATAACATAGTACTGTAATGGCAATTTGAATCACACCTAGAGTATTTGTGCGTCTAAATCTGCCTGCAAAATATGGGTGCATTTTAACCAATTTTTCCAAAGTTTCATGAGCTCTGAGTTCTCTGTGACCTCACTTCCTTTGTTTCAAGTTGATATCTATTTCATGGTTTCAAACCCTTGACGTATACAGTAGGGGGCATAAGCAGGCAAGGAAGATGAAGAGACAAAGCCAGAATGAATAAGAAAGTGGTCATTTGAACTGCACTCAGTGGCTGTCCATGTTAGTGAATATAGACATAATATACAGATACAGATATTTCTGTTTCTCATTGTTTTAGAAAGAACACTTATGCCCACTTCCAGCTTATGCTTCCAGCTCTACTAGTGATGATTTATTTTGTGTTTTAATATCATTCTGTGTTGTTTGATGACTGCATCACAAAAAAAGTGACTGAGTCACAAAATGCAAATAGGTCAGTTTTTGTAAATGTCGTCTAATGCTCATACTTGAACACATGATCAGTGTTGTATACTGAAGACATACAGTCAACAGACAACAGAGACAGATCAGACATCTAGACACTTTCTCTGCCACCTCCACCTTGTTGTTGATGGCTGTTCTCCTGCTTGGTCCCATAATTTTCGTAGGCTTTGCTAAGGGAATGGCTTGCAAACCCAAGAGGGCCTACTACCACTGGCATCAACCAGTTCTCTTTCACCTGTTTCTGCGGCAGTCCACCAGCTCCTGGTACGTCTTTTTTCTCTTGCGCCTCCTCCATCCTCTTCTACCAGGCCACAGGCAGCAAGATGAGCTCTCTTGTGGCCTCAGAAACCAAGATGATGTCTGGTATCAATGAGGACCCGATGATATGTGATGGATTTTCAGCTGTCTCTGCAGGTTAACTGTGATCACCCAGTCCCTGTGGCCCTGTGGAAAGCAAACCGACAGAGCAGTTCTTGGGTCTTTAATTCGGCTGCTCTCCCTCCTTGACAAGCGTGGTCATTTTGGCTTAGAGTCAACGTATCTGCTGTCGTTGATACATTGATGTCGCTGTCTGCTGTTGGAAATTGCCTCAACAATGGACTTGTGGATGCACCACCAGCAATAGCACCCCTCGCCCAGTGCCTAGGAGAAGATGCCTTTCCTGGAACACAGGGGGCATGCAGTTGTTTCCACTTTACCCCATGTGAACAGATTGGATGGGTGGGGGGTAACTTCCTTAACCAAGAATTGATCCTCTGGAGGTTTCACACACGCCAGGGGACATTTTGTTCCATCCCCCCGGATTAGGTTGCTGTTGAACTCTCAAGTCCGGCCTTGCCCTGCGTCACACTCCCAAGAAGGACCTTTTGCTTCAGCTGAGCTTCTGCCTACTGGAGTGCCTCGACAACCCTCCACTTCCTCTCCGTCCTCACGGCAAATCCTGAACCGGTCACTTTGGTTTCCCTCGATCCTGTGTCTGAAAGTGTTCTCGTGCTCACACCACAGCGAATACCTCCTTGACAGCCTGAGCTGAACTGGAGTTCAGAAGTTAGCTAATAAACAGTTTTTTACATGCTCAATAAAATAATTTAACAGCTGTGATGAGCAATTGAAGATTTCTTACAGTATAGGATGAAGTGTATCTTGGTAACTCAAGTGTCCTATAGTTATCAGATCCTCTCACTTTAGTGGGAAACACTGTTTTTAATGTCTACAGTCTAAATGTTGAGTTAGTGATCACTGAGCCTGTATCTGGTCTCTCAGTTGACATTTGTACATTATCTACATAATGTTTTCAGATCTGTCTCATAAGGGGAAATGTTTGGACAGGCTTAGTTATAGGCAGTGTTTTATTTTCTTCTAATAATGGGTATTTGATGGCAGGTGTAGGCATAGCCTAAACTAAATTATTTCATGACATTTATTATCATATATCAGTTATTATATATCTGACCAGCTTAACTTTCTGCATTCATTGTCTGTGATAAATTAAATAAATATGTAGATGCTGCCTAAATGTAGGCTAGATTATACATGAGCATATACACACATGAATATAATAAAATGAAAGTAATCATACATACATGCATCCATACATATAGAAATCATTACTGCAATTTTTTTATTCCTTCTGCCATCAGGTTATTCAATTCAGACAGTAGAAGTATTTCTTGTATGCTTGTATTCAAGCCAAACTACAGAGCAAACTCACACTCTGATTGAACCAATCTACAGTGCAGTAACAGTAATTAGTGTAATTAAACAGCATTATTTGGACCTGCAACTTATCTAATAGAGAGAGGAATTAGATATGGTATTATTTTATCATACATTTACATGAGCAGATGGATAGCATTTAAATTATAGCCTACAGAAGAACACAGTCTGGCCTAAGTAAATTCCCCCCATGCAGCTTTGATGTAACATTACAGTAACTTTTGTTCATCAGAGGAGAAATGGAAGAAGAAAATATGTCTGTCGCTTTTAACCTGTTAACATGTTGGCTTTTTCAGTGGTTCTTGAGACAATTGTTGTAATACAGAAACGAAAGATGTGGTGTAAAGATTTTGCAAGCATAAGTTATGCATATCCTGGTGGCTAAGCCCCACCGTCTGTCAAACCTAGTGACGTCCCCAGTTAGTACCCCTTCGAAAAATGGTTAATCTCAATGGGTTTATCCTGTTTAATGAATTAAATCATCATCCCCTCTTTGGTATTGCAGAAAAAATTTCAGTTGGCTAATTGAGAGAGAGATACATATTTGGGGATGTTTACAATCAGAAAAACAGAAACCCATAATAATAGTAACACTAGTGATTACTAGTGATGGTATATTTTCAATAAATCCATGAAAAAACAATATTTTGATAAAACATTCTGGAAATGTCGGTATATTATCACAATAAAACCAAAAATATTAATCCGAGTCTTATCAATATGTTGGAGAATAGATTTGTATGATCTGAAAATGTGTGCATATTTCATGAGGAAAACTAATTTAAACATTAATTACATAAAATTTGTAATTTAAAAAAAGATTCTATTTATGCAGGCTAAACTATCAACTTGTAAGCTTTCATTGTGTTATAACTAAATTTGGAACAAAAGCCTATTTGACTGTGGTGTCTCACCTTAAAGGGAAAATAAATCCAAGTCATATTTTTTCATTCTGTAAACCTGTCTTTATGAAATATAGAAATTCAGTTTTTGAACTGAACTGTCTTTTAAATGTTTTGATATGCTGTAAGTGACAGATGGATCCGCGTCGGCAGGTCAATATTCCGGGGCTTAAGCCTTGTAATCAAAACATTGAGATATAAATGTTGTCGGTCAGATTTTAGTCAATGTATTTGCTACACAAACGGTTAACAGTCCGCTGCAAAGTAATGACAAAATAATATGACACAACTGACCATGACACAGACACCTGTCGTACTCTTTGTTGTCTCTGTCCTCCTCGCTCAGAGACTGTTTGGACTGTCTCTGCTCCAGCTTCTATCTGAAAACAGGCGAAAACATGAAAGATTTCTGGGCTGGGTTAAGCCCCCAATGTTTCAAGAGCCTGGAAACGCCCCTGGCATATGTATCCCATAATTTCCATGTAAGTCTTTCCGCTCTATCAGACGGTTCTCACAGTAAGACACCAGGTTTTGAGGCCAGCTACACAAACCTTGCCGAAGAAAGAGACGAGTTAAAGAGGAAGCTGAGTGACTTTGGTTAGTATGAAACTACACCAATAATAAGGACTTCTATCCTAAGCTGAATTTGTGCAATATTAATATCACCACCTAAACATAGTCTCAGCCTCTACAGTCCTCCCACCTCGGTGCAAACTTGTTACACCAAACTGGCGCAAATACAAAAACAGACTTGCATGTGAGGACAACTGCATATTAACTGTGGAGCAGAGCCAATTGTCTCTTATGTTGTGGATGTGCTCTGATTCTGTTGAAACTGATGGAAACCTCTTTTTGCTCTTTCAGATGCATCACATAATAAGACACTAGAGCTTGAGGCCACTTGCAAAAACCTGACAGATGAAAGAGATGTGCTTCGGAAGACACTGATTAACTGTGGTAAGTATCAGGATGAAACTGCATCAACAATAAGGGTTCCAAAGTGAAATATTGGATAAATCAAGTGTCATATCAGATGAAAGCTCCTGCTTAGTTCACAGCTGGTTGGCTATAGTTTATTTATATCAGTGTGTAGATTGCTTGATTAATGATAACATAAAAATACCTTATTGTTTGTCAGGCTCATTCATAGTTTCTTTCCAATTCAGTAACATTTAGTTACAGTGTCTGATACATACATACATACATACATACATGTTTCATATTGTATTGCAAAAGAATTTGTGGTTGGCTGACAGTCAGTAACAGAGGAATGTGATGACAGAATTAATAACTACATAAATGCATACGCTACTCCTAGATATCAACTTTTATAATTAATAGATTTAAACACTATTTTCATATTGTTTTAAATTACATCATCTCTTTTGTGGATATGCTTTGGTGCTGTT